ATCCGACTTTAGTTTGATCGTTAAACGCGAGAGCTCTTTAACTTCTCAAAAGGATTCTCAATTTTTCCGTTCGCAGCCCGGATTAATTTGCACGATAAATATAGAATATATTGCGGTTTCATGTCTTTTTTTAGCTTCTTTATTCGACAGATGAAATTTATCTCAAACATCATTTTGACAGGAGAATTTATTTGCGAATACTTTCTCTCAGTAAATACTCGCTGATGCGTTAATAACTGCGATTTAATTCGAAATATTTCTAAATGTGTTTACGGGACATTGAACGCGGGATTTACTTTGGCAATTTAAGTAGACAGTAACCGAGTATATGATTCGGTCGAAATTTTAGAACATACCTAATAGCGGGCTCGTGCGCTTTGATTTTATAATTGTCCGCGACCGAGGTGTTAGATTTGCGGATAATAAATCACCGAGGGGTCGCAAATTGATGCCGCGCCAAATCATAGTTACGAGACGCATCTGTTCAAATAATCGGTTACGCCGAGATTCTCCGCGGGAATACGCGTACATTTCGGATCCTATTAATAGCCGGGCGAAATTAAGTCGTTAAAGTACGGATTAGCTGGTGATTTATCACGCTTACTGGCAGGCGGTTTCACTTTCCCGCTTTACAAGAGATCGCACACGTATCTCGTATAACAAAAACACTTTCTAATTACGACGGAAAAGTAATCCGAACAGTCGCTTATACGGGCGCAGCTAATCTTGATAACGGAACATCGAAAAGAAATATCTTTACCCTTTTGGCGAGAAACCTCGCCTCAGAATATCTCTTCGTGCGTAAATAAACTCGACACTAATTTCCGATTGAAATTGCGTTTACATCACGATACGTGCGATTCATTTTATAAATCGAAGTAGAACAGTATATTTACCAACAAAAAAAAACATCGTTCTTCAGATTTTGTTCTCGGCTGAGGAATTTATTTTACAAATTCTATTGTTCTGAATTATCAAACCGTACAAAATAAATGCAAAACTGGGTCGCGCGTGACACTTTCGACCGTATAAACGGCTGCACGTTTGCATCGTTCGCGTCGATCCCCTCCGGGCTGTCTTGCTTTCGTGTAATCGGAATTAATTGACAATTTGCCGCTCGAGGGATTACGAATAGCGGGACCGGGAATTTCGTTTCGCACGTGGCCACCCGAAATGGTCTTCGCCCGGAAGTTTTAATGAGCCGCATTCACGACAATCATGAGTGTGCAGTTATGTTCACGGCACGCGCGCGCGCCCCCCTTTATGACGGTAGAACGAAAGAGTCAACTCGGTGCACGCCGAGCCGTTTGCCGATGAACGGCAAACACCGTGTGAACATTAATTCGCATTCGCAATGCCATTATCCTCCTCCTCTCTCCGTATTGCAAGTGATTTTCAATCCCGACGCCATCGTGAGTATTTGCCCGCGTATTTGCTGAATTAAACAAAACATACAGCTGATGCTTTTACGCGCGATTCGTGGGTGGATGAGATATGTTGATACACGTATCTAGTGGCTTCCGCGCGAGATATTCCTGTTTATCCAATCTGCCGCTGTGTACATACGCAAGGTGTATCATGTAGATCCCGCTGGATTTCTGCCTGGCATTTAATAGAAGAAGAAAAGCTTTTATTATTATTATTATTATTTGTGTGTATTTCTCAGGTTCAAATCCATTGAGGCGTCTCTCTTGAGCAACTTGTTCGCGCGCGGAGACGTTTCGCAGAGAAGAAATCTAAAAAATCCGTGACACTCGGGGGAAAGTGCTGCGCAAGCATACGATACGTTTATATCGCAATTAGCCGTCGAACACGCGGTGAAAATGCGCGCTGCCCGTTTGTATCCGCGTCCATTTAAGTCGCTCTCAAGGCGCTCTTACGTCGTAAGGGAGCACCGCGCCGCTCCGGGGATCGAGGCTTCGCTCGCGCGGGTTAATGAGCTCCTCTCTGTGCGTACAGCATGGCAGAGTGACGTTTCCACACTGCGTCGTGCTTCCGAGATACCGATACGCCCACACGTGTCAAGCGCTGCTGCGAGTATCCCATACGTATCCGAGTATACACGCGTAGGTACACTTACGGCCGCGCGGCTGCTGCGGGTACGTAATCGCGGCGAGAACAGCTGCAGCATCGCGTTGGCGCACGCGGCATTAGAAAGGCGGCCGCGACTGGGAGATGTCACAAGGTAAACCGCATAACATAACTGGGATACACGGGGAGTTATTGTGCATGCGGCTATCTGCGCGATCGGATAGGCATACGGTTTACTGGCCTCCGGCGGCTGAAACCGAGCGCGCGTCCTTGAGAAAATTTCTCCCCCGCTGCTATATGTTCGCCGCTTTCATACTGTGCTCGCTTGAAAAGCGCAAGGCTTTTCACGACGAATTTATCTTTGTCTCGTACGAGGCATTGTCCCCGTCATCTTTCTTGTCTCTGGATTTTCTGAGTTCCGAGGGTTAAAAGGAGCTTGGCTCGTGGCGGATTCATTACGTGAGTCTTGGCGGCGCGATTCGTGCGTGTTATTTATGCGTGCCGCGTTGAGCATGCCGCATCGGGGCTCAGCGACGAGCTGCCTCTGTTGGTAGAGAGAAAGAAAGAGACGCGAAGGAGCGCGAGAGGCTTGCGATCGGTCAGGTACATCGAAAAAAAGAGAGGAAGAGAGAGAGAGAGAGAGAGCCGATAAGAGAGATTGGTAAGAGTGGCGCGAGGTAAATGTAAACTTACAATTTATACGAGCGATCTCCGGTCCGCACGGTTATTCATTCGCGACTTTTTATTTATGCGGCTGCCCTCCCACCACCCCCCTCTCGTTCGCGTAAAACGTATCCGTGTATCACCGGTCCAAGTCGTGCAACTGGCGATAATAATTTTTCATTGCGCCAGGTCAGACGAGAGAGCCGCCGGATCCATTCTCAGATCCGCATTTTAATTGGGATTTCATCGCGCGCGAAATTAACGAAGCCAGAGATCACATCACGTCTGTACGACGGTACACTCGAATATCGTGGAAAATCGCGCGATCGCGGGATTTCGCGTTACGATTGAATCGTTTCGGCTGACGAGATTCCCCTCGCGAGTCGGTCGGTCGGCGCGATTGCGTAGACGCGAAGCGATGTAGAACTAGACGGCAACAAGGACGCCGTGAGAGTACTTGTGAACCGTCTGGCGACCCTTTAATAGGAATTTATGCCAACATTCGCCTGACCTTAATTGCCGGCCAAGCTTGATCAATTGGCGCCAAATCGCGTCGTTCTTTGTCGCTAGGCTCGCGCCTCCGTAGGACGTAGATCAAACGCTCGCGCGAAGAGAAAACTATTTAGGGTGATCGTCATTAATTAAGATGCGGCGATCGTCACGTCGACATGCGCTGAAGCGAACACTTGGTATTCCAATGTGAGTATTTTGCGTACAGAAAATTATACGGTTGCCGTACGTCGAAGGTAAACGTCGGTAACACACACGCGGTGCGCGATATGCAGAGCTATTGAATATTCATATATACAAAGTGTGCATTCGTTACTTCGATACTTTCTCATAACGTCACGCGTAAATACTGTTAACAGTGCTACATCTGGAGCGAGGTGAGCGTGGTATCCTGCATCACTCGGCAAGGTGTCTCTGTTTCCAAGATACTCAAAGACCGAAAATAAAACGCGCGTATTCTCTCTTTCTCTCGCGTAATTTTATTTGTGAATAAATAAACTCGCCACCGTTCTCGATATATTATTCTCGCGTGAGAATGCGAGGATGAATGAGAAAGCAGGAAAAGGAAAGTTCTTATCTCGAATATGATTCTTTTTAGAATACAGTAGATTCGAGAGGTGTTTGACCTTACGCCAGAAGACGCCACAAGTTGTCGCGATAATTTATCGCTTCGCCATTAAACACGTTCCGCTGACTTATGTTGTCAGGATATTCTCCATAAATATATATTATACTCTCCGGTTGCCGGACGCTCGCGGAGTTGGCAACGACACCCGAAATCGATTGCCGGCGTTCGACTATAAATATTTAACATCGGCGGAAAGACGCGCGAGGAAATCTAATGAACGGCTAGCAACGACGGTTCTCCGACGCGAACTGGGAACAACAACAGCGGGTCTGATTGTCATTCGAGGTGCATTCACGACCGGTGACTGCCCTTGGCTGTTGATACGGAAAGGCTCGCTGCGCCGACGAAACAGTTTTAAATGACTCTCTCTCTTTCTCTCTGTCGACAGTGAAGAAATAATTGTCCGGGTCACTTCTCGGTGTCGTTAAACTTGTTAAATCGGGGGTCAGAACATCGCGCAGTCTTACACGCACGTATAACACATGGACTTGCCGAGATGCGCGAGATTCGTCGTGCGTGCCACTTTCTTTAAGAGATCATACCACCGCGCCACTTTCACGACGCGAAAAAAAGCTTCGATCGCCACGGAAGCAATTCGGCCAATTTTAATGCGAAAACCGAACGCGGGGTAATTGCGGTGTTATTTCCTCACGTCGATAAAATTGCGGCGGAGAAACGCACAGAAGGTACCTCGGAGGGGATATATATGTTTGATGTATATTGATCTCGCGGGGGGAGGGGGGGGATCTCTTAAAAGGCATCGCATTAAACTTTCTTTTTGAATTCGGGGATGGGCCTTCAGTGAAAATTAATTGAATACGCTCTCTCTCCGTATCCTTCTGAAAATTTCAACGTTCACTTTCTCACCACGCGCCATTTAATCAATTTTACAATTCGGTTGATATGTCTCGCGCTGGAATTATGGGGAATTATGGGTGAATAGTCTCTCCCTTGTTCTCTCCTGAGAGAGAAACTCGCAGATTATAAAATACACTCGCGCCCTCGAAAAGTCGAGTCAACGTACGCGTGGGTAAATATAAATCTGCGAGTCGCGAGCTCGGGGTCTTGTTCACATATGTCGCCGTCGCGAATTTTCGTGGCGCGCCTTTCGACACGTAGTGCTTGCTCTCGTGCGTTGTGTAAAGAGAAAAATCCTTTCTGTTTGCAGAAACTGTCGTCTTTCTTCAACAGCAAGCCGACGCGAGTGGACAAGACGGACAACAACAATGCAAACAATTCTAACAGCACGAGCAACAACATCCATAATATGCCGCTGCATGAACCCATCAGCGCTACTTCCCCCGAAGTATACGGTACGTGAGAACTCTATGATTACGTGAAAATCGCGATACCTTATACGGGCGCAGAGTGCGGGGAAACGTGCGCCAGTCGTGCCGCGCTATCATTTAATATACCGTCGACCGAATTGCGTATTTAAGACGCCGCGCGGATACGCATCCGAGCATACGGAACGCGCCGTTACGCTGACGTGAATTGCCGGCAATATAGGATTACGGCATATATGAGAGATATTATTCATTACTCCTCGGAAAGGCGATTCTCGGATTATACTTGGCGAACGAATGATTACAGCTTTACACGGTTTAATAGAAATTAAGCGCTTTCCGCGGCCAAGATTAATCGAGAGAAACGCGTAGGATTCGCGTAATACGTTGCAAAGATGATTCCGCCGTAGCGAGAAAAGAGTTTACGAGCCATCGGTGACTTACGTAACTCACGCGGACTCCCCGAAGTACGCAGCCGGCCTGATGTGTGTTTTTTCTTCGCTCGGAAAAAATAGCCGGGAGACTGCCCATGACGCCCCAGGAGGCGGTGAAGTATTACGGCTCCAGACTGACGGAATTCGAGCGCGCCGAGATCGAGAAGTACTCGGAGATCTGGTATCTGGGCCTGTCGGCCCACAAGATCCACGGCGAGGAGGTCTCCTCCCAGAACGGCGGTTACGACGACGAGAACGGCAGTTACAACAAGGTCCTGCACGATCATATCTCCTACAGGTGAGCGTCCGATCATCCTCTTTCGCCTCTCTCCTCTCTCGATGCGCGCGACTTTCCCTCTTCTCTCCTAATTGTTATCGCCGCACGATGTTTGTTTCGCCGAGCGTACTGGCTAGAGGATCGTATAGCTAGCAACGGAATTCTCGCAATTGCGCGCACTTGCATTCCGTACGTCGTTACTCTCGAGAGAGAGAGGAGAAATTGCGGTTAAGAGCCGCGCGTGCACACAGCTCTTGTGTGCGTCTAAACGCGCGCGGTAAACAGCACGATAAATCGCGAAACGGTAAGTAAAAAGAATGGTCGACGACGAATTTTCTTACGCGCGTGAATGATCTAACGGTCAAACGGGACCGGTAATTGCGGCTCTTCTTTCCGTCCGTTCCTCACGTCCCGTTGTCCACGTCGTTTTAGCCCGCACGTGTGTCAATTATTCGTAAACTTGTGTGCACGCAGATACGAGATCCTGGAGGTGATCGGCAAGGGAAGTTTCGGTCAGGTGATCCGAGCGCTGGATCACAAAACGGGACAGCACATCGCCATCAAGATTATCAGGTACGCGGAAACGCTACACTCATCTCGCGATGAGTGACTCAGCGCGACTCAGACCGTGAGTTATGTGGAAAAAAAAAACGCGACGCGTGTCCGCAATGAATAATGCCTAGATACATCCGGCATTTTTCCGAATGCGTTCGCTTTTCCGAGCGCACCGTTCTTTTCGCGCGTCGTTTTTTTTTCTTTTTCTTTTTCTTCATTTAAACAGCGCGGCTTTCACCTGTCCTTGCAGGAACAAGAAGAGATTCCACCATCAGGCTCTCATCGAGGTGAGAATCCTGGAGCATCTCAGAAAGAAGGACCTGGAGGCGAACTCGCAGCACAATGTGATACACATGCTAGAATATTTTTACTTCAGGAATCATCTGTGCATCAGTTTCGAATTAATGAGGTGAGCGATCAAGCGAGATGAAAGCAGAAGTCTGGGTTTTCGCCTGTGAGAATTTGTTAAACGAACAAAGAAAAATTGTTGCAGCTTGAATCTGTACGAGCTAATCAAAAAGAACAATTATCAAGGATTCAGCCTGAGCCTGATCCGCCGTTTCGCCAACTCGCTAATTAGTTGCCTGAGACTGCTCTATCGAGAGAACATCATTCACTGCGACTTGAAACCGGTGGGTAACGCCGCCCGCACAATCGTGCTTTATTCACGTTAATCCCGAGTGCGCCGTTCTCATATATATATATATATATATATGTATACATTGGCGTCATTGTTACAGGAAAACGTGCTGCTGAAACAACGGGGGAGCAGCTCGATCAAAGTCATCGATTTCGGCTCGTCGTGTTACAGCCACCAGCGCGTTTACACGTACATACAGTCGAGGTTCTACAGGAGTCCGGAAGTGATTCTCGGTCTTCCCTACGGCACGCCGATCGATATGTGGAGCCTGGGCTGTATCTTAGCCGAGCTGTACACGGGGTATCCGCTGTTTCCGGGCGAGGACGAGATAGAGCAACTTGCCTGCATTATGGAAGTCCTCGGTCTGCCACCGGAGCACATTATCAATCACGCCACTCGTCGCAGGCTCTTCTTCGGTAAGCTATTAATATCCGCGAGTACTGAAAACTCTGCAGAGGCGGGAGAGCCTCCCCCCCCCTCCTTCCCCCCTACTAAAAGATAAAAGCGGGCGTGCCGCGCACTGTAGTACTCAAAGAACCGGGTTTAAAATAATTGCAGATCAGAAGGGAAGCCCGCGATGCGTGACAAACAGCAAGGGCAAGAAGAGATGGGCAGGTAGCAAGAACCTCTCAATGGCTCTTCGGTGCTCCGACATGCTCTTCGTAAACTTTGTTAGCAGATGCCTCGAGTAAGTACAATATGCATTATTCGCGCGTAGATTTATTATTCGAAAATGTCATCGTTATACATCGACGAAATCGATTTTCCCATTAAGGTATCGTTGAAAATTCAAAGTTTTCAATTGATAAATTGTTCGATGGAAATCCGTAGTTTTTTTTTTCTATCTTGGTTCTTACGAATTCCGCTGTTCGCGGAATTTATACACTAATACTTAAACGTTTCTTGATTTTGTCCAGGTGGGATCCAAAGAAGCGTATGACCCCCGACGAGGCGATGCGTCACGAGTGGCTAACTTCGTCGTCGTCTTCGCACGTGAGCTCCTCCACGTCGGCGATAGCCTCGTCGACGGTGAACGCGAGTGCGAACACGACGACGACGAGCGTCGACACGCCGCGGGAATCCGCCCACGCTCCGCAGACGGTGAGCGTGACTGTGAGCGCGCCGCGGCAACGGGCGACGACGATGGAGGACCCGCCGTACACGATGTACCGGCTGTACAAGGGTCGCAAGTACATGCCGAAGGTCTCCACGGGCACCGACGTCACCGACAACGGCGGCGGCCTGATGGTGAAGAGCAAGCTGAACGGCAGCGCGAGCAGTCACGCCCTGGCGAGCAGCACGCAGACAGCGACATCGAGGCACGCGTCGACCGGCGACATCGTTGCGAGCCTAGACCCGAATCTCGACGACTCAGGCACGTTCCTGCCGCCGATATTGTGAAGTCGGGTTTGCGCCAGCCACTTCTAAACGGGCTAACTCGCGTACCGACGCGATCGGCATGACGCTCACTCTTTGCACTGCCGCGGGGGGGAAGTGTGCGTCGATGTTGTATCACTCCGATGTACGTCAAGAGCGGGTGCACAGTTGAACGGAAGGCGCGTGTAGAACTGGCTGGCCGCGGTCCGACGTTACCGTTTCTCGATGCCAAACGGCTAGTTAAAAAAGAAAAAAAAACGCAGAGTCGCTAGTCTCGGCATGTATCGAGCTATGAGGCCAAAATGACGATCTGACGACGGGAGAAGAGCGCGCACAGGCGCGTGACGAGCAAATAGCGATCGCGTGATCGATCGATTCCGCGCGCTCCCGGGGACTCTGGCGATCCAATATCACTCAGGTAATCGTAACGAACTCGCGCGCGCGCGCATTATCGTAGTTATTCGCGGAAAAATGTAAACCTGTTGCCTACGATGAGGATACTAGCAAATCGTTTCAGTGTATACCGATCACATTTCGACATGGACCATCGTACCTATCTGGTTCGAATGTTTACCTCGCGCCTGTATAAAGTGCACGACATTAACACAGGTGACGAAGTCTCGGCCGTAGATATAAAAAAGAAATTACAAGTTAAAATTGAAAGTTTGCATAAAATGCGTAGTTTGCCTTGCTGTCAACGAACCGTGAGATAGACGATTCGCCTTCGGGCTGCGTGTTACGACGATAAAAAGAAAAAAAAAGAAGCTCGCACGCGTAAACGCAATCGGAAAGTATACCGTACAGTAGCATCGTACTTTAGATAACTACGCCAGTGCAAAGTGGCGCGATACGACGCACGTATCGTGGCAACGATAGAGAAGCGAGGAGCTCGAGGCGAAAGAGCACGTTATGGTTGAAAACAACGATTCGCCCGACGATTGCAGCGTAACGTCGGGGATTACCATCGAATTACGGTCGTGCCGAGAAGAACCTGAGTCGTTCGAGACCTGTGTCGCCAACACAGGGTCGCGCGATTAATAACGAAGCGCCAAGGCGAAGTGTCAAGAGTAACATTAAATACGTGAAGCGTGTGCCCCAGTTTAACGAGGCCTGAGTAGTCTTATTGTGATATTAAACTACCACTGTCTTACTTAGATCTCTCTGATATTAAGAAGTAACGATTGCTAATATAATAATTTCAATTTACTATTAATCATTATTTTCTTATTATCTGTAATAATCGCTATATCGCTACTATTACCGCAAAGATATAGCGGCATACAAGTAACGAGGATTTATCATCGATATAATGACAGAGTTAACACTACTTATATACGTAGGCATGTACAGATTTTAATTAATGCGTTTTTGAAGTCTCGGAACAGCAGCAAGCAGCAGCAGCAGCATGCTAGTTCGCTTACTATGGATACATAAAAAAAAAAGAAACCTGATAATTTTCAGTGATTTTCAGTGATCCCTTTATTACCGCCGCTACACCGCTCTTCTGTTGTCAATAATCGTCTGCGCGACGTAACGCATGCTTTATTACGTCGAAATTAATTAATTAATGTTGATTAACGCCCCGTGAGATTCCTCTCCGCCTTCGCAGTACTACCTATTTACGCATTGCTCGTAATTTTTCCCGGCATTAATTAGCGATTTATGATTTGACGCGCCCTTTCGAAAACTTATCACGAGCATTTTCGCGACATGCAGAGGATTTGATACAAAAAAAAGAAACACAAAACCTATTGTATAGTATTATAATGTTAGGCTACTTTTAGACTTGGTAATTGTTCGATGTGCCCGTACCCATTCTAAAGTTCCGCACGAGCTCGTAATAATTACATCATTATGACGTTAGAAACGTGAGACGTGTCACGCTCCACCGTTTGTTGCTGTCGAGCTTCCACCACGTGGAACGTTAATCTTCCGTTTTTCCATGTTTCTCTAATTCTTGAAGGTCCTATTACACGTACGAAAACCATCGGAGGCCCTACTAAAAACTGTAATCCGTTTTTCATTGCCACGGCCAAAAATTTGAAGCAGATGTATGAATTTATCGATATACTCGCAAATTCTGATCGCGTCACAAGAGACTGAAATGAATCATTATTTTATATTGCTAACGAAAAAACACATCGCGAAATTGTTCCTAATAGTTCGTTTTCTGCAAATCGATATGTCGCCTTACTTTTATTACACTTTTAGCCAACTCGTTCAGTTCCTCTGTCTGAAGCATATTGTTTGATTCGCGGAAAGTTATCGAACGTCTCACGATGAAAACAAAACGAATAATGAAACTGAACTTTGCCGTCACACAAACGGTCCCACTTTAGCCCAAGAGAAACTCTTTTTAGGACAATTAATATCGTACCAATCGTAGTGGTATCGCGCGACATAATCGGTGAATGGCCAATAAAACGCGAGCGGATGTATATTATAATAATTAAGAATTACATATATAAATATATTATTCGTATGTGGCGAATCTGCCCGAACGAACGACTGACGAAGTAGCGCATATTATATTATGATACATGATACACGATTCTTACAACTTGTGGCGGGTTCGTAGCAGTCGCTCTCGAGTTAATCGCGTCAACGTAGCGACGGAATCATCACGGAAGTCTCGGGTAAGCATTTCGTTCGATTACTCCAAACGAAAAAAAAAAAAACAAAGAAAGAGAAAAAGAAAATTCAACGAGAGTAATGTCTATGAGGCGACGCTTTCTAGGGAACGAGAGATATATCAAATTGTGTATAGAATAAAGATGTGACTGTGTATGTGTGTGTATGTATGCGTGTGCGTGCGTGCGTTGCCTACGAGGGAGACTCGTCGTCTCTCGGTGAGAGTAAGAAAGGGAGAGTGTGGCGTATGATTATGCACACACACATATATCTTATTATTAAAATATATTATACTATTATACCACGTGAGGCGCGGTAACGCGCGAGGGCAAAAACGAGTTAAGTCTAGGATACGATAGAGGACTAATTAGAAGAAGGGCGTTTCGCGAAGAACACGCGCGCGACTCCGTCTACGGAGTCCCCGGCCTCTCGCCCCCCCCCCAACCCCCCTCTAAAAAGAAGAAAAAAAAATACAAAACGCCGTTCAATTGTACAGTCTTAAGTTTTTAGTTGTGTTCACTATTGTATACAGCGGGATCAAATTATAGTATCTGTATAAACGGGACGGTTGTATAATCTACGTGTGACGTGCATCATCACTTATGCAGACCAACACACGTGCACACTCGGCACGCGCGTGTCGCCTAAAAAGAAACATAACGAGAAGCATGTTCGTAATAGCGAGAAACACACTAGTGATCGGCTTGGCCGGCGTCGGTTTACCTCGACTCAAAACCGAGTCGTTTGTCTTCTGGGAGAGACAGACGGACATTCGCTGCTGCGAATTTTAGAGACCGACACCGACGAAGCTGGGACTAAAGCGATGAAAGGAAAAAAAAGATTAAAAAAAGAGGCCAGGGCATGTACTATTTCAATACCATCCAAGAAACAGCGAAAAAAAAAAAATCGAGCGAAAGTCCATGTCCTTCGACTGAAAGCTATTCGACTTCGCACCTGGTCGATTCGTCGTTCGCGAACGGAACAGTTGTCGCCGTACGCCGCGATTTCCCCACAACGGCGCGGACGGAAAAGGGAGACAGTGGCTTTTTCTAGTCCAGGATGTAACGAACGTGCTCCGAACGTACACACACACACGTCTCACTTGAACACGAGGGAGAGGAAAAAAAAATAAGAGAAAGAGGAAAGAGTTCCCTCCGGCTTCAGCGAAGGAATGCTACGCGCGACGTATATATCCGTTAAGTCGGTGTGCAACTAATTAACGAATTTTAACGACGCGATTAGACACTATCGAATTAAATTAAGTATAATACGCGTGCGTGTGTGACCCCCTCTCCCCTTCCCGCGACGGATAACGCGTCCGACGAGGAGGACCCTGCGTTTTGTTGCGAAGGAGCCACCGTTACGACGGCCGAGCCTCGTAGATCATCCTAGTAGGACAATCATAAAGTTACGCGTTTGTGTTAGACGCGCTAGTAAGTTTTCATTAGACGATAGAGACGCGAGTGACCGTATATACGAGGAGGGGGGGAGTACCCCTCGTTCGAGAAGACGCTCGCTAAAATGCGTAAAGCGATCCCGTGGGCGCGCATCGCGACGGAGGATCGTTTAGATTATTAAACGGCGGCTGCGCGCGCGCTTCGCTCGCCTTTTCTAGGCCCGCAAGAGGAGAGATCTCGGTACGCGGATCCGCGCGGAAGTGAGAGTATCTCGCGTGCACGGGGGAGAAGGAGGAGGAGGCGGAGGAAGAAGCGATTCCGATAAAAATGTGGGAGCGAGGGAGTTCATGGAGAGTGATTTGTAATCTGGCGTTCAATTGCGGATGTCTTGTTATGAAACGTGTAAAAGTGCGAGTTCGTCAATTTCTGCCCAGACTTAACTTTAGCAAACGAGAGAGAATTGCTAAATAATAAATGATTATTATAATGACATTAGTATATATATATTTACTATATATATATATACTGATTACGATACTGAAGCATCATCATCTTTTGTATCATTTGTTCGTTTGTTTTTATCTTACTGCGTTTGTCTTTCATTATTAATGCAATACCAAGATGACTCGGTTTCGACTCGGTATCTTGTGTGTAAATATATAACTAATAAAAAAAACATGTACACAAATGCAACGAGAACACGTCTGATTGACGTATCTTCCCCTGCAGTCCCCCCTGCCCCCTTCCCAGGATTCCCTGTAGCGGTTGAACACCAAGCGCTAGTGATTTAAATAGTTTATTTGTAACATACTCGTATTAAATACATCATATGTATGAGATGTATAACGCGCTAAGCAGACCGATGAGTTAAAAAGGTCGGTATTCAGAACCATTGCTTATTGAAACGATGAGTTATATCGCCGTTAATTTTAATTAGTGAGAACCAGATGCGAGCTCTGAATACAGACTACGAAGTTAAAACGCTAGAAGTGGATCAGAGACGAAAAGAGGATGAGGTAAGTAACGAACCTTTTTGGAGGAAAGGACAATTGTTTTGAGAGAGAGAGAGAGAGATAGAGACAGAAGGCACAGGATGATCCAACATTATATGTATGTACTGACTTCTTGGCGATATATGCGATTCGCGACTGAATCTGTGAATTCATCTTCTAACAGACAGATGGATTGCTACACACATATTCCTCTAATGAAAAATATAAGATCGATGACTTAAATAACGATTTAAATAACTGTCGGAGATCGTTGCATGCACGACAATATTTAGATAGACATATATGAATACCACAGCATATATGTAGTCGATAATCTCAAAGCAAGTTTCCCAACGCTTTTGTTTCGATGCTACCTCCGCCTCTCTCCCTTCTGGGTTTTTCTCTTCTCCTTTTTCTCTTCCTTTAGCTGCTTCTGCTTCTCTCTAAAATATAAAATTAAATTAAAAGTATATCTATCGCATATCCAACGTGTTATGTGTTAATTCATCGATGCCTGAAATCATCCTACCTGTCTTCTTTATCCTTTTCCTTCTTCTTCTGGCTCTCCAGCTTGGCCTTTTCCCTTTTCTCTCTTTCCTGCTGTACAATAGTAGCTGCGTTCAGGTTCTTTTCGATTCCGCAATCTCCACCGCTCGCTCCATTCTCCTCCCCGTCTCCCTCGCTATTTTCTTCGTCAGACATTTGACTGTATTTCGCTAGTACAGCCTCCCGTATTCGTCTATCCTCCTCCGTGTAGCTCTTCTGCGTCGTCGTGGGCAGACTCTGTGACTCCAGCATCTTCGCCAGCCTGACGTCGACGTCTTCCGTCGGTGCGGGCGCCACGGCCACTTCCTCGGCTGGCAACCACTCTGCCCACGCGCTCAGGATTTCTGCTACATGTTTGCCGATATTATCCTGCAACGAAAATGAAAGGAAAGTCTGTTATCATAACGTAAGAGACATTGCATAATCTGGCGCAAGATTACAGGGACAAGGACGAGCATTCCTGGCGCGTCTAAGCGAGCCAAAAGCCGTGAGGATAAGAATTAAAGATCTTATCGAAAGTTGATAAGATCGTAGTCAATGTAAGCTCGATTTCTCTTATAATCCATCAATCTCGGATGGATCTGTCTCTGATGGAGCACTCGGCGGACGAAAAACGGCGGAGGAAAATACACCGCGGGGCGGACCGCGACTGGAGCTCGCTGGAGTAGAGCGTACGGGAGACACGGACGCGTACTTTTCGGGGCACGACCTCGCGATTATTTCCGACCGCCTGACGGATGCGGCGACGCGTGTTCTAACCTCAACCTGTGCTCCGCGCTCCTCGCCCACCGCCACTCACCGTTATGCCATTGAGTATGCTCTCGAGCGCCTCGGTCTTCTCGTCCTCGGACTCGTCGCTCTTGAGGATGCCCTTGATGTACGTGCCGAAGACACCCTCGTCCGTGTTGAGCGCCTGCAGCTTCGTGCTGAGCCAGGCGTCGAAGGAGTTCGCCGCGACCGCCATCGCGCTCGTCCGGCGGCGCTCGTTCACGCGGTCTCGATCTCGCCGGTCGCCCCTTCGCGCGCTCCGACTGGCGAGAGTAGGAAGGAAGGAAGGAAGGAAGTGAAGGTAGGAAGGACGCGCAGCGTCGCCGCGATGACACCTGATTTGCCCGAGCAGTCACATCTTTCGTCACACTGGACGCGACACGCCGGACTCGCGCGGTCATCTCCACGACGACGGCGCGGACATCGTCGCCGGAGCTCGGACTTTATCTTTAGTTTCCTACGGCACGCAAACCTGCAGCTTTACGGCGCGCGTTAAGGTACACGTAGTGTGTGTTGCTGCTACACACGACGGCGCGAATGCCGCCGGACCGTTTCTGGAGCGCATTTCCTGGAGCGTGCGCACCTTGACACTCGTGCATGACACTGCGCGCGCGCGTGTGTGTGTGTGTCGTATATCGTACACACATATACGGCGAGATGTAGATTTTTTCCGTGCCAGACGACACGAAAGAAATTTGCAATACCTATAAGTTAAAGCTTTAAAATTGTAACATATATTGTGTAGAAAAAAAGGTCGTTTCGATTGGCTTGTCGAGTAAAACTTAATGTATTCACACGATACTAAAATATTGTTCCGAGATCTTGGAAGGTTTAACATCCACAGTATTAATTTTATTGACATATATGGAATTATTAATTTTCTGTTGTTTGACACTGTGTGACAGGTAAACTTAAATTAGGAATGCATAGTTACAAGTTTTATTTTAAGCAATTCTGTCAATGAAATTAAATTGGAGTTTGATCGAAGTCGTCTGGAAATGAAAACAGTGTCGATACGAACGATACTCGCCACAAGATATTCGAAATTGGTAGTAGATCACAGATCGACACTTTTGACGATCCGACAGTAAAACGTAACGCCGCGTAAGAATCTTTTTAACAAAAAATGTATTTTAGAAACCAACTTATTATCAGTTAAAAGTATGATGGCTCTTGAGGAAGAACCTCCTATTGAAATTGCTATTAAGGTTGCCTATCGCTATTAAAAAGTATCCTCGGTTTTTAATAAATAAAAAAGAAAGAATCAAACGAGATTCAATTTCGAAGCTCCCGCGTTGTCACCAGATGATCGCGCTCGCGCGCATCAGCTTCGCGCCGATCGCAGCGCCCCGCCGCGGCGCAGAACGATAGCATTTCCCAGTTGCCTGGCTCCCGAATGTCTCGTCCCGTTTATTGTCACGAACGTGTTTAGCGTAAAGTATGAACGTGATCGCGAAGTCGACGACCATCGCGCCGTTCCTGCGGGCGACGGCGACCGTCGTCTCGAACGGGGGGCTACCCGTGGCCGCGACCGGTAAAGTTCAGAAGCCAAAGATTGCCGTGCCCCAACCTGTCAGACGGAGACTCCAGCAGACCACCTATCAGGATCTTCTCGTCGGACCTACGTGCATAAGCTCGGGAGTCACAGGTGCGTCCGCATTATCGGCCCGTCCTACGCCACGAGGCGTTCCGCGAATTCGCGTTTCTCCGCGAATAGATCCAGCCGACATGCTCGCGATTATATAATCGGTATGCGCACAACCGTGCACTTTGCAGATCGCTGCGCTATCAGTTGAGCTCAGGCACTTGTATAAAACTATCCCGAGTACTCTCGATTGTTATTTTAGATATGAATATAGATGAAAATCTATTGATAGAAGATCCTGGATAGACTCTGCTGCTCAAACCTGGAGCAGATAATATAATCTGGTTTTGTGTTGTTGCAGTCAGCACGCAGGTGCATCAGCGACGTTTGGCGCACACCGACATTCAGTGGCCAGATTTCTCCCATTATCGCCAAGATGAGGTACAGGATCCAAATTCAAAGTCGCGGGACAGTGCGCCGAACCGAAAGGGCGTCTCCTATATTGTCGCAGCTGGCAAGTACCATGGAAAATATCTGATGCATTTCAAATGAATTGCATTCTAAATCTTCTTTGGTTTTATTTGTACTCTCTAGGTGGTACCGTGGCAGGTGTCTACGGCGCTAAGGTATTCGTGCACGGTATCGTAGGAATGCTAAGCGCATCGGCCGACGTGCTCGCCATGTCGAAGATTGAGATAAAGCTCGATTCTATCCCCGAGGGCAAGAGCGCTGTCTTCAAATGGCGCGGAAAGCCTCTGTTTGTACGACACAGGTAATTCGGGATACTAACAGTTTGATGATTTATCGCGCGGCAAAGCACGCTTGTGTTTAACATACAGACATATTATAATTCATATTGGAATTTACAGAAATCAATCAGAAATCACAACGGAAACTCAGGTGGACGTTGCGAGCCTCCGCGATCCGGAGGAGGACAGCGTTCGCGTGAAGGACCCCAAGTGGCTGGTCGTCCTGGGCGTTTGCACGCACCTGGGATGCGTGCCCATCGCCAACGCGGGAGACTTCGGCGGTTACTATTGCCCGTGCCACGGGTCGCACTACGACGCCAGCGGCAGGATTAGAAAGGGTCCGGCCCCGCTGAACCTCGAAGTGCCGCCCTACGAGTTCACCGAGGGCAATGTGCTCGTTGTTGGTTAATGACTATTCGCGATATCTGTAGTCAAATAATAAAATAATTTATGATATAGGATGCTCCGGGTGATGCGGAACGCCTTGTTACTGTCAACGCGAAGAAGAAAAAAAAATGCGTTTTGTATATTTCTTGAGATTTACTGGAGAACAATTCGTTGGAACATCGCGCGTCGATGCAGCGCGATCGCTGTATCGGATTTAGAATAAAACGTCAAGCGAAAATTTCCTCTGAAACTCAATTGCTCACATCAGCGTTAGAATTTATCTGGAATATCGGATGCTTGCGATAACGGGGCGACGGGCGCGAGATTCGCCGAATCCGCCATTGCTCCGGAAGCCCCGCGCAAATCTATACGCAATACGCGTCCAAACGCATCCCTTTACGTCGCAGCTACCCGCGCAATATACCACGGCGGGGAGGGGGGGCGGGGAGAGGGGGGTAGGGGGTTACGGAGTGATACCAGCGCTTCCGCGAGGAGGCGCCAGCGATCGGCGGCGCGGCCGAAATTCTCGTTTGCCGGCCCCGGGGGCCGCGAAGCGGCGACAATCGTCATCGCAATCGCCGGGCGATCGCTGCCGGTTTCACCTCGATCGCATTCGTCGCTGCTGGCAGCGTACGGACGAGAGAAATCGCGCGCGGCGTGATCTCAATAGTTCATTACCGTGTTCGTGCTGTTCAGAGAGTTTGGATTAGTCGCGTTAAAGCCGGCCGGCGCGCGCGGCGGCGTCGCTTCTGTACCGCTCGTATACTTGTCGTCGTGTCGTCGTTATATATTACGTATACAACACATATATTACGCGCACGCCTTAACCCCCTCGCCGACCAGCTGACTCTCCTACCCTTCACCACTCTTCTGTCCTCTCTCTCTTTCTCTCTAGTCCCTCCTGTCTCTGTCTTCTCCCGGAACTGACACTCGGAACCGCCGCCGGCGACGCATCGCCGACGATGTATTGTCCGGTCGCGCGCCGTCAGCGAGCCGCGCCGCTCCGTCGAAAGGGTTGAAAGCCGAGAGTAGGAGAGGTGTCGTCATCGCGGGAACAAGCGAGAAGGAAACCCGCGGAAGCGCGCCCCAATTGCCGGTGAGTAACACATATATCGCAATGTATTTGCTAAGAACGAATTCTCTTGTGTCGCTTATCGAATTTAGCGAAGGTCATCGCTTTTTTTTTTTTTTCTCGAAACGGCAATTTCTCGGCAACGAGGAATTCATCCGTATTCGAGAAGTCGTGAATTGTGCGAGGCGATCATATGATTGACGAGCAATTGACAGGCACATGACGAGTCGACGGTAGAAAAGATTCGCGGAAACAGACCTTTAATACATTCCTCGTCGATGAATCACAAAAATTTTATGTCGATTTTATTTTGATATTTGAACGGATAACGCGGTTTGAATAACATCAGTTTTTTGAATACCCGAGCGTCACGCCGCGCGATAAACATCTCACGCGTATCTTTCGGGCGCGAATATATTTCTCGAAACGCGATAAGTTTTCAAACGATTTGCATTCACGGACTTCGTTCCCTAATTCAATTCGACGCGACATCCTCTGCACGCGCGCAGCAGGCGGTTGCTCCAGTTTTGGCGAGTTCGTCGAAATAAACTTCTCGCTTCATTCGTTCAGGGAGCGCTTCTCCTTTTTCTTCCTTCGTCACCTATAGATTGACATCACGTCGCCTAGACTGCTCCGCGGTATTGATATCACATTCTTTCACGATGGAATGCATGTTTCCCGGCAGACATGCCGCTGCTGCTCGACAACAATAATCGCGGCAATGACGACCGATGACAGACTGTTCTTCCCTCGTTTGCGCTTTTGCAGTAATATTAATAAACTGAAATTACTAATAATAATGTTTCCTTATTAATTAACTTTTTTCCGATCTCATTGCACTCCGTGCGCATACATCTCAATCGCGTTTCTTTTCTCTGCAAATATCTATCGAAATAAAAAGTCCCCTTCGTGTGGGGATTATTTTAAAATTTTCAGCTGCGTTTTGTTTTACGCATGACGTGCATGATGTTCCATTTTATTCTTGTTGTTCACTGAATGTTAAACAAGGACAAAATGCTACTTCATGCGCATCATGCACGAAACGGAACACACGTTTAACGTCCCCCCCCCGCGCGCCACAGGCTTTGAATTTGGAAATCGTTCAAACCGATCGCATAATTTTAAATGCAGGACGGAACGACCCGGTCGATGATAACCGTTCGATGAGCCCCGCGAGTTATACCAGTTATAGTTATCCCTCGCACCCCTTGTTTAGTAACACCGGGTATCGGCACAAGCTCGAGCATGTGTTTGTGTATCTGCACGTCTGGATAATTCGATGATTTCCGTACACGTATGCCGTCCTTTGCATCTCGGTAACGGCTCCGAAAGCAACCACCGCACTGCCGGTGGCTCGTTGCGGCTTCGTGTGCGATCTGACCTTTACGTTTCTATTTATGTAAATAAAGACAATATCGTTCGATGTTGCAACGAGCGGCGCACGTCGATGCATATTCACACAGAGCAGTCGAACCGGTGATCAATCTAAACTTTGATCGGTCGTGTAATTAGGATCGCAAAGTTTTTTTTATTTTAAAGTGAAATGAGGAAAGCTGCTTTTAAATCGGTATTATTAATGAAGCAAGATAAATTAATGAAATTCGCGTGTTTTCAACATGTTGGCTCGCTAGTTACATACGTCGAGAGCAATGCGTTTCGCGAGAAATATTAGCATACTCGAATCTCGTGAAATTAAGCAAACAAACGCGAGATATTATCATAAGAAAAATGTTGGAGATGTAACGGAAGTGACAAATGTATGGCACGGCGCGTTCGCGTGCACCGGTATTTTTTCCCCATCGATCAATTGTCCGAGTGCGTGCTTCTCTTTCGGCGATCTCTCCCGTCCGCCCTTTCTCTCGGCCACCCCTCGCAACCTTGTTCTGGCCGAGACTGTACCCGTTGTTCGCAAAGACGATCGTTACCCACCCCGGGTGAGGATCTCCAAGAAAGTTGCAAGTGCAAAGGCCTGAGCGGGCACGAGTTGCAATGCAAATGCCGTCGGGTTCCTGGCATTCTAATTCTTATGCGTCAGCGAGCGAGAAAACGCGGCCGAGAGTGCGGCGCGCGCGCACGGAAGAAGGGAAGGCTGCTGTCTTCTCTCGCAGGATCCAGTTTCCCTTTTTCGGTTTTTCCCTCTCTTTCTTCCGTTCGGCCTCTCTCCTCGCCACCGACGGCGCAGGACGAGACTCTCTGCTGCTTTGTGCCCTGCATCCACCGAGCGCACTCGGCTCTCCCTCCTGCGCGCGCGCGCGCTTCTATGCGTGTGCGTGCGTGCGTGCGTGCGCGCACGCGAAATTGCGTGCTTCGTAACGAGAGAAAGAAAGAGAGACAGAGCGAGAGAGAAAGAGAGAGTGAGCGGAACCCCGCCGCAACACGCGGGCCTTCACGCTGGAGGAGAATCAATAGATGTGCGTTGCATCTTGCCCCTCCTCGTCCCCCCGCAACCCCCTCTTCACGCGTTTTCGGCTGCCACCCTTCTGCCACTGACTCCGACCTTCGCACGCGGGCGCGTACTTCGCCGCCGTGTACTTTGCGAGCCGCGTACGATTTACGAGGCACGCAGGCGATCTACATTCGCGAACGCTATTAATCCGAGGAGAATTCACGTAAGAATGGAAAATCAATCGGACGAAATTTAACGAACAAAAGATTTCAATTAGGAATACGATGTACTCTTTCCGGTTTTTTTGGGGAGATTGAATTGTTTTTAGTTTGTATAGAAAAACAAGATAGAGGAATGTTGTTTTTTTTCTATCGTCGCGCGCGTGTCAATGAATCGATACGGGCGTTATCTGTGAAAGGTCGAAAGTTCATCAGCGGCTAAATCTACTCGTGCGAGCTAATCTATATGCTCTCGCGTAATTTCGCTGCGCCTCGACGTAGACCCGCGATTACACCCTTTCACCCGTTTTTTTAACTTTTCCGTAACCCGTTCGTTACCCGAGTTCCGCCGACCGTGTGCCGTTGCGTTTTATACGCCATATTGCCACCCCTTTTACCTCCACCGATCGCGCGCGATCCTATCGTCTAGGAAACTTGACGCATAAATCAAGATACGGTGGCGGATAAAGGCCAATTGCCACGCAGTCCTAGAAAATGGTGTAATTTGGTATGTAAGCTCGGCTCGTATTTTCGACGTCGAACTTCCCGCGGCATCGATTGCCCGTAAAGATATCTGTGTGAATGTCAGCCGCCCTTTTCGACCGCCTACTGAATTATTTACATCGACGATTGTCGCTAAGAAAGCGCACACCTTTCCGTGTCACCTACTTTATGCCGATACAAATGTAATTAGGAAGGGTTAAGTTAAGGAATATACATATGCGGCTTCCGAAACTCTATTAAGTTCAACGAAATCGAATACTTTCGAAAGGGTATTTCTGATTCGTTTCATTTAATATACATTAAAATATTGGTCACGCGATAGTGCTACATTTTTCATATCGAGATAAAGTTCGAGCGTTCGAGGAAGTGAATTATTCATCGTCCGAGACGAAAGCTGGGACTGTTCTTGAAATTTATCCTCCGGTAAATCATACACTCCGACGTTCGTCTTCGGCTCCCGACGGAGATCGAACATCCCTTTCATAATTTGCGAGGGAGAGAGAGGCCGCGTCGTGGTATCTACTGTCTCTCGATATTACGCAACGACGAGCGGACACCCCTCGAGGAAATAATAGCGCCGCAAATAACAGCCGTTGCCTTCTTTCCGTAGCCGCGCGTCTTCGCCAGCCGAAAGGAGACCCTCGACTTTAAGCGCCGCGCCGCGACGCTTTCGTGCATCGGGCGTCGTACGCGTTAGGTAGACCGAAAGTAGCGACAAGGTTTGGAGGTCGATAGGACGGGGGCGAGAGATCGAAAGCGAGACCGCGAAGGGAGAGCGGTGAAAGCGAGAGCGCGAGTAATCGTAAACGTAAGCACACACAACCCGGCGCAGCGTGGGCGAAGGTGAGGGGTGGAGAGGCGAGAAGAGGGAAAATGGAGGGAAAGCTCTGGATGAAAGGGAAAGGGGAGGGAGGAAGGACGAGTGAGAGTGAAGAGGGGAGGGAAGGCGGCCGAAGGGGCGCGAAAGAGGGTGGTAGGCGAGAGAGAGGCGCAGGTGAAAGTGAAGCGAAGGTGGTCGAGTTAGAGCGGTAGCATTCGGGGAGGGTGAAAGGAGGTTAATGATTAGTTCTTCCCAGGTCGGGGGCTGTTGCCGGGTGCAGGTTGCTTGGCTCTTCCCCTTGATCGCCCTTTCCTCCCCTTCCCCTTTCTCATCATCATCCTCCTCTTCTCCTCCTTTCTCCTTTCTCCTCCTCCACCTCCACCACCTCCTCCTCCTCCTCTTCCCGTTTCCTGCCGCCATTCCGCGTTTCCCCTCACGCGCCGATGTCTCTCCCCTTTCCCCTCGGTCCCTTTATCATTCTCTTCAACCCCCTTCGTGCTCTCGGCCATTCTGCCAACCTCCAAAAATTCAGACCCCACCACCATCGCTGAAGCTACGCACGCACGACGGAGTTTGAGGGCTTGCAAGGTTGTTCTCCCCTCCACCCCGAGCTGCTCCCAGGAACGTGTCGATTATTTATGGAGCCATCCTAGAAGCCGCAAAGTGTATATATGTGTACATACGCGTTTCGAGAGTTTCTATTTCGGCAGAAATCTTATCGGTGTCCGAGATTTTCTCGAGCTCGAAAGGAAACGTCACCCCGTCGCTGCATTCGTGACATTTTGCCTTTTATTTCGATTGGATCCGTTATTGATCGTCGAGCGCAAATGTTACGTGTATTTTCCTTTTACATTATAAATCCGCGTTGAAACACGAACTTTGAACCTGATGTTTCCTACGAGGCACATTTCTGTTTTCATTGCCCAGCACTACCGTTTCTCGCAGCATAATACAGTTAAAATATACTCTTGAGCTATTAAAAGCTCCTTGTTTATGCAAATTACACGCTTATCATACGCCAAGTAAAATATCGCGCGGTTGTGGTTATTACGTACATCGTCGGCGTAGGTCGGCGCGCTGCACAAAGTAGCAGCGAGTCTTATATCGATCCCGAAATTGGCGGCATCTCCACGCTGCGAGAGAGAGGACGCATTCAGAGTCACCTGCCTAATCTGACTAACAAATTTTATGCAGGGGACAAGTGCCAGTATGGTATATGTACACCGGTCTCCAATCTTAATGATTAGAACGTGGCTGATGATACGCTTCCCTCGAGCGCGTCGAAAAGATTTCGTAAGCTCGGACCGCGTTCATGTAATGCGATAATTTCGAATGCAGGTGCACGACCCTTCGCCGTTAGAACGGCCGGCCGTAACCACCGCCGCGCATAAATGTTTAATTCAACCAAAACCATCGCGCGTTTATGAAAATTCATGCTAGTCCCCTGTGCTGTAAAAGGATAACTGCAAATTATTGTAGCATCGTGCGGAGTTTTAGTATAAATAATAAAAGAAATCTCAAATTTTAATTTCTTGTTTTGTTTAGGCGAACAGCTTTTATTTAATTACATATAAAATTATGCTTAAAATAGATTTATATCTACGGACACAATAATCTCTCTAATATATCACGATATGTTAAAGCAACTAAGGAGAAATGCATCTATTTATTTCTTTCATTTTTATACGCTCGAATTTTTTAAGTTTTCCCTCGAGCATAAGCTCTGTTTATTTTCATTGCGACTTCGTCGGCGAACCAATCGGCCGCGATCGCTGTGGTGTATTCTACCGTCCCACGTGATGCTCTTCGGCATTTTCTGCTGCGTCCATTACGTAGCAACGAGCTTATTTTGTCGATTCCTCGACGGCGCCGCCGCGTCCGGTGCTTCCGTTCTTCGTTATCCGGTATAGCCGGTAGTTAAATTATTTTATCGATTGCGCGAAAGAATCTCGCTTCTCCCGCGGGAGCGAAAGAGAAAGTAGAAGAAGAGGAAAAAAAGTGGAAGAAAGGTTCGCCGTGGCCGCGCACCACCCCTTGCAGCGTCAGCCCTGGCTCCCTAACGGCCTCCGAGGACTTTCCAGCGAAAGTGATGGCCGTGGCTGCGTAGGAAGGGCGCCGGGAGAACGATGCGGGGGTGGCAGCGGCGGTGTGTGCGCTCCGTGTTCTCAGCTCCGCCGCGGGAGGGGTTGGCAGAATCGTCGTTGACGGAGGGGTTGGTCGGCCGCGAGGGAGGTCGGCTTCGGAGGAACGGCAGGAAGGGCGATACGATAGCGAACGCGCGCGCGAGGGTCGACGCGGGTAGACGCGGGGGCGAGGGGTGGAGTACGCCGGTAACCTTGCAACCCTCTTGCGTACGCGCGCGCTTAAGGAAGGGGAAGAGAGAAACTGGAATCCCGCGGCCGCTGCGCACTGGAGGGGTGGCTGCCGGCCGCGGGCTTGCGAAGGCAGTCGGGGGTGCAGCCGCGCACCAGGGTGGCAGTGACGGGCGTGACGTAGCGTGAGGAGGATGTATGCCCCTGTTGGCGAGGGCCCCAGCAACCAACGACCATCCCTGGTCAATCCATGGTGGCTTCATCCGCCAGGTACGGTCGACCAGTTGTTGCTGTTATTGTTGTCGTTATTGTGTCGTGGCTCCTCCACCTGTCGCGTTGCCGGCATCGGATGTCGATGCCGTTTCGAGAAGCGGATATTTCGCGGGTACTTGTTTGTTTTGATCGCGGCTTTGGGAGATCGATGCGTGGGGCGTGGGAGATTGCGAGGGGCGGCTTTGAACTTGAAGCACAGCGGCGGTACTACGAGGAGAAGGGATGTAAAGCTTGTTCGTAAAAGCGACTACATGGTGTGAAATAGTGAATTTTTGGATAGCGTCTCTTGGTGAAACGATCGAAATGATTTTAATATGTCAGTGGAAAAAAATAATTGTCAACTCGTGATGTAAAATAAGTTGTCTTCATGTGTTCTGCTAGTTTCTCATTTAATTTATTTTATTTTTGTTAAACATTACTTTCATTAACTGTTCTAAACATTTTTTAATTATTTTAATAACATTTCATTTTTTAAAATAATTAATTGTTTAATATCTAATAATTATTATTCTAAATATTTTTGTTTAACATTTTGCACTGCCTTGTGCAGCTTATAAGTGTAGACACTTGTTAGAACAGCTACAATTATTAGTGCGATCGAATATATACGAAATATTTGACGCATAATCATTTATATATTCAGCAAAACAATTGCTATGTACATAAACTGTATGATTTTGATATTTGTATTCTCCCGAAAAAAGGTTTGTTCTTAAAATATGTCTAATCGTAATTTACAGTACAGGCTACTGAAACTCGCCGCGCTAATTCTAACTAATTTATATTAAGATACAATATTCTCAAATTATAAAATTATTTTATGCTGTTAAAAAAATGCTTTGCATGACGTTATAACTATTTCGACGAAATTACAGTTTGCGCGCTCTCATTAAATCACCGGCCATTATTACGCGCATATACCGTGATTTCAACGCCTCCTTTGTTTCTGCCTCTGTAAAGTGCGTGCACGTGCTGCAGCAGCACCAACAGCGACAGCACGTCGTCGTACGTGCATTATGCGCGTAGCGGTACCTTGACGGAAGTCGCGTTTATTTCGTGGCGTCATAAAAATGGATCGTACATTCTGCTTCTTCCACCTAATTTCCCTCCCCGGTGTCGTCTGCGGCTTCGAAAAAACGCTGCACAGCTCCCGCGGGGCGGAACCTCCCGCTAACGACCTCCATTCGGGAAATTTATTGCGCTGCCGTTCGCTTTACACGGCGACTAGAAAAACCATTCCTCCGCGGACCCGGACGCACGAAAAAGTCAACGCCGACTTCCGCGTACGCGACGATTTTCGAGATCGTTTGCTCGACGACTCTTACTGAACGGAGCCTTTCAAACAAGGCTATACTTCCCATATTAAAACAACACAAAAAAAAAGAGAGATTTCTAAAAGAAAATTCTCGACGGAGTAGTCGTTGAACCTCGGAGGTCCTTTATCGGATCCCGTGACATTCTTTTGTGACTTGGCGGTATCCCACCCTTAACAATTGGAAAAGCGGGCGGCCGCGCCGTGTCTGTCGAAAAAAAGCGATATTCAGTTGCTGACGATAAGGATTCGCGGTCATGGAAACGCGTTCCGGAAGCTCCACTTTCCACCTACGAGATCGGGAACGATATGCATCGGAGGAGGATATCGCGTCGCTCGCTCATGACAACCAAATCCACTCTAATAGGGGCACACTGTTGAGTGTCGGCCCAAAACGTAGGGCCACTCGGCGGGGCGGAGGAGGAAACGTGCCCGCGAAAGAAAGAGAAAGAGAGGGGAAGTCGAACGAGCCGAGCATAACCCGTAGAACAGTCCAATTCAGATCGTGCTTCGCGCTGGGCGTTTTCGGCGCGCACGCTTCATTCGCGCCCGTGCGCCTATCCTAATACGACTTGGCGAAGGAACAGTATTGTCCCTCGGGATGATTGACATTGATCACGCATACGCGCTGTGGCCATCCCGTGGATTTTTGTAACCGCACCGGTTAACGGCTGTCGCAATCTTTCCTGCAATCTTCTATTCACCGCTCTTGTGAATGAGTCGCAGTGACAATCGTACGCGTCGACGAGCGATTTTCTCTTTCCGGGGGACGCAAGCATGATCGCGGCGAGAGCGCATCCCTGGACGCGTTGCATCGAGGATTCGTGAGGCTGTAGTTACGGTGAGGTTGTTTCTTCTTTTTCTTTTTCTTCCTTTGATAGTAGCTTTCGCATATAATCTACGCAAACGCGATCGTTTCGTAACGATTTTGTTTGTCACTTGCGAATTATTTGCAAATTGCACTATCGAAATGTTGAAACAGCGAACGCAACATCGAGCTTTCGTTCGCCAGCAAAATTTCCCGTTATCCCGAAGCGTGACAATTTTTACGAGATACAACAGTTGCAAGTTGATGCACGCACATCGTCCGTCAAAATCGACGCTCGATCCTTGATTATTGTCGCCGGCAAAAATGCGCTTACATCATCGCGCCTGATTGAAATGGATCTATGACGACGATCCACGAGAAAAACATCGCGTTAACACACACATACATACGCACTTCACCTCCAACGGCGAAAGCGTCAGCCTTTTCTTCCGCGGCCGGATCTCATTTTAAACCGCGGTATTTTATTACGCGCCGACAACCTGTTATCTCAGACTAGTCTCGGAGACATTGACCTCAAAATTAGCTTCCGCTGCGCGTCGGCTCAATTAGCTCGCGGTGATATTAACTATCTGTATTTCTCTATCCGTATATACATTCCGAGCTTGCAATTTTTTATACTACACTAGATCCTTTCTAGCGTCCTACAATTAATTTTGGAAATATGTATAAGTATCTGCAGGAATAGATAATGACGGGATGCGTTACTTATTTTCCTAAAATAATGGACCCGCGCGGCAATTCAATTTGTGCAATCCTTTCAATGTCCTTTTCTGAGACGTGCGGCGAAATGAAATCAGAGCGAAATTACGTATTGTCTCCACGCGAGCTATCTTTCACTGTGGAAACAGAGAACAGCTCCCTCCTCGCTTTACTTGAACCGTTTCTGTTATCGTCGTCAAACGTATATTTGCGCCTCTCGCTCCGGCATTTTCGTCGAGCCAACCAACCCTTTGGGTGCGCTTCCTCCACCCCTCGGACGATTATTGTCGAGATTCATGCGGATATCTCTTCCTTCTTCGTCTCTCTCTTTCGTTGGACGCGCTGTAGCAGTTGGTTCTAACGCACAGCTACAGGCATCGAATATTTTTTTTCCGAAGCAGTCCTCCGTCGAATTTATTTTCCACAATTTTGCTGCTTCCCGTTTCCGAGGCAGCTTTAACCTCGGCTTTAGACGCGGCAATACTTTTTTCTTATTTACATTTTTCTCGGTCAATTTACATTTTATGAGCCGTGAATTTTCGTTAATTAGATCAACGAGCTTAATGAAAATGCACGTTTTCAAATGGATGTAGCAGCGTCGGTGCATTCGATTCGCCGCAAGCGTAGCTGTGTTGCGGGAATTAAGACTAGAAACTCCCGTCTATCTTTTACGATTAAATTGTCGTTGATATCCCTCGTACACGACTTCAATTTGCCCGTAATAACGGCGGCACTTCCTATGAAAGCGCTAGCGCGTTCTCAAAGCGCATTGAGCGTATCAAGCGCGCGGCGCAGCTTATAGTCGAATCGAATCGGGATAGGCTCGTATTCGTCGTAAACGCATTTTAATACGGTTTCCTTCCTGGAAGAGAGAAAGAAAAAAAAGAAGAAACCAACGACGGTGACGACTTTCTAGCTCCTATATACCGCGTATAACGGCGATCGCGCTTATTGCTAAAAGACACCCCACGAAAAAAAAAAATAGCATTCGCCGAATCGGGCGCCGTTCCGTGTTTTTCCCGTCGAGCCACGATATTCGCGCTTTTCATATAGGAGATCCCCTCGTTTGCGTTAACCTGATATCACGACAGAGCCATCCTTTTCCATATACTCGCCAAGCAATACCGTCGTCGGCCTCATCGTCGTATTCAACCATCCCCCGTGACGGAGGCAAACGACGCTTCCTCCGACCATATCGCTCTCCTTTCTTTTTTCATTACGAGTTGCCCAATTTTTTCTTTCCTCGCGGAAGCTCGAGATGGCCTCGCGATTGCTCGACCACGTAAGCCAGCTGCCATCGGTGTATATCGAGTTACGATATCGCGCGATTACGGAAGCTTACACGCGTATTACGTGAATGCAGGATTGGAGCCGCGTCTATTTTTGTCTCTACCTTGCCCACTTTGTCGATTTTTCTTGGCTTCTGCGAAATTTCTGCGCGAATAAAGACGCCTGCGAGTGAGAAAAATGCGAGTTCGGGTGTTACGTGGCCACTTATTATATCTGCATCTTTCCCGGGAGGGGAGTCAAAGCAGAATTGCCGACGCACACACACACACACCTCCTTCTGTACATATTTTCGAGAAGAACCGCATCGAGAGGACCAGAGCTCTGTTTTTCCAACGCACGAATGCGATGACATAATACCGCCGCCATAAGAGCGCCGAATTACGACGCTGGCGAACGCGCGCGCGCACACACATTGCCCACACGCACACGCACGCACACCCGCCCGCGACCTACGCTGCAGCGCGCGCGTGCGCGCGCGCGCATATCCGTGCACACGCCCGTGTTGCAGTGATGTATGTATACCGCATGCGTGCGCAAACGCGGGGACATGCGTGCGTGTGTGCGTGGCTGAGGCGCGCGTGCGGCCCCGCAGCGACCTTGAGCCTCCCTCTCGGGGACTCCCTCTATCCCTCTCTATAGCGTGCGTTTTGCCACCACGCAATGCCGCGAGCCCCACCAATTTTGCCGCGATGCGTACATTCCCCTCCTTTTTTTTCGGCCACCTTCTCCTCCTCCTCCTCTTCCTCCTCCTCATCCATCTCCTCCTGCGTCTCTTCCCGCGCTCCTCCTTTCGCGCGGTTCCGGAGCCACGCAACTCTCGAGGCGCCTCCAACGCCTAAATTTCCCCTCTGCCTTCGCTTTTCGTGCCGCTGGTGGTTCCTAGCGATGGGCATCGATCGCGCTGCTCCGCCAATTTTTGATTCGAATTCGAACACGCTATATGACTGTATCAAGTTTAGTGCTTTCGTCAGCCGAAAGCACCTAAAAAGCACTAAAGTAATTTCGAGACAGCCGAGATAGACACGTTGAACCTCACTCGGAATATGCAAATTACCCTCGGACATCTGCGCGCACATGCGCTTATCAAGGCTGTCGCTGCACGTACGAAGATTCTTTTTCTACTTCGTGATTCCCGTATGTGACGTTTTACTCCCGCGATGCGGCCCTGGTGTACGTCGGATGAGAACGCAGTGGGGATGTGTGATACCTTAGAAGCGTTAGGGAACGGGGAGGGAGTGGATAATGTTCGAAAATGAGACGGAACAAGATAGAACGTCGCAGCGCGCGCGAGAGCGAAAGAATAAAAAAGTTCTTCGGTGCAGAAGGCGAGAAAGAGAGAGAGAAAGAAGCAGGAGGGGAGCACTGCGGAGAACCGCGAGAGTCGAAACTTCTAGCCTTAAGCAATCGCCTCGCTGTTCCAGCGATCCCTACCTCTCCGAGGAAGCCGCCAAATCGTCAATCCCCCGTCCCTGCCCACCCACCCGGTGGTGACCCCCCGTTTCCCCCGGTGGTTCCGTGTTTTGCCGGGTGCCCGAAGAGAGCACCGAAAATCCCCCCACATATACGCTTCGTCCGTGTAACCGCATTTGCATCGCCACCGATGACCCATATTCACACTCTTCTCAGCGATTCACCAGCAACGACAGCGGTCCCTCTCAGTGTGTTACGTCCTGCCCTGTCTCTCTCTTTCTCTCTCTCTCTCTCTCTCTCTCTCTCTCTTGCCTAGCTCCCTCTCGAAACGACCCGTTCCCGTTCCCCTGTCGTCTCGCGCTACCGCCTCCTCTGGTTCCCTCTCGCTCGCGCCCGCGATTTTTCGGCTCCCGCGCGGCGGTGGACCCTCCCGCACGGCGACCGCGCGTACCCCGGGCCCGGCCGCACCGCGAACGACGACAGTCACGCGCGATTCGTTCATGTGCCGATGCGCGATGCAAGCCGGTGACTCGATTTCGGCCGGCGGCGAGTGCGTATAGTCAGTCGTCTATTTGGTGCTCGCGCAACCGGGTCTGCGTCATTGGTCCCCGGACACACTCTCGGGCGGGACATATTCGAGAATTCTACTTTCGCGCGCATTTCACGCTGCACCCTTGGTGATACATCCAGTCGGTGATACACGCGCGCATCATGCGTTGCACTGAGGACACGTGCGCACGGTGCCGAACTCTGTAACTTTCCTCTTTTTTTTTTCTTCCTCCGGTAGTGACGGCATGTCCCCATCCGCGACGCGAAACAGAGACTAAAGTGCATTTCGGAGTAGCGTCGCCGGTTGTCGTTGTTGTTGACGTTACGCCGTTCGAGATTCACGAATGAAGTCGGAGCGGCTGTTCCGCTTATACTCGTTGACACGCCCCTGCTATCAGTAAAATCTCTTCTCTTGACGTTTTTTTTATCGCGGGCGTCGCGGAAATGCGGTGGAATTTTGACATGGCGCGGCCGGCATCGTGCGATCGCGATTCGTGAGGCAAAGCACTCCGCGCGCGCAACCGCGACTCTGGAGAACTGGAATTGCTTCGTACTGTTTCCGACGTTCCGCAATTGCGACGTTCCGAGACGCGCGCGCGAAACTGCAGTCGCTGGACCCCGCGCATGTTCGACAGTTTCTCTGTCATAAACATATTACGCACGGAGCCAGTAAGAGGTACGTCGCGTTTGTGAGGTATCTCATATTTCGAAGTTATCAGCTTCCAACATTCAAAGCAGATGACGTTGGCCGTAACAGTAGTGCGAGCTGTTATATTCTTTCACAGATCGCGCGTTCATTCACGGATCGAGATTTAGCGTACACTGACTTGACAGTGCAGTGACAAGTAAATTATTGAGGAAGGTGGTTCACGTAAAAATGAATTTTTTAATACGAAATGTTCTCTTCATGCTCGTCTATTTACGAAACTTATTAAACTTCTCGAACTGAATGTCTTTTGCGAAATTTAGTTTGCTTTTTAACATCCGCGGATGTAATCTCTGATGCTTTGGCGAGAAAGAGAGAGAGAGAAAAAGAGAAAAGACATCGGTCGATAATCGAGATTATTTTCTGCGCAGCTGGACGAGCAATTGGGCACGAGCGCGATCAAGAAGGTAAATACCCATTGGAAAGTGGCTGCGAGAGGGGCGGTGAAGGTCACGGAGTTGAGCCTAAGGGTGGCATCATGGACTCTCATCAGCAGCAGTTCTGCCTCAAGTGGAACAGTTTCGGCAGCAATCTAGCAACGACGTTCTCGAATTTATTCAAAAGCGAGAGTCTCACCGATGTCACCCTGTTCTGCGAGGGTAAGTTTCTTCACACGTGAAAAATAACGTTATCCTTCCTTCTTACAATCTATAACGCGCAATTCTTTTTGCGACGCGAACCCGAATGAATTTCTTCGAAATCCGAAATAATTCTTCAATACGACTCGATAATAGAATTATTAGAACAGAATTATTAGACGTAAAACAATCGTTGAATATTTCCAGGAGTTATTAGACGTAACGTGATAATCGGAATAAGTGCTAGATTGAAGAATTCGGCGGGCTATTCCAAGACCTTGACTTCTCGGTCTCACTTATGCAGGCGGAGAAGGTCGACACTTGACAACACGCAAAAAGATGCGCAAAAAACTTCTCCGTTGCATATTCGCTCGTGATATTTTTGGCGCCGCATGCGCGTGCTGCATTTACCGATACGTCGAGTAGGATCTAAGCACGACGAGAAAGTTAATTCGTCGCCTTCTCGCGCCAAGCGATAGGACAATTTCGGGCTTTCACTTTTTCGACATCACTCTTAAACGCTCGAGGAGCAGCTGAAGGTTTCACCCGTTATTTGCCCGATAGAACGCTCGTTCTCTGTGTTCACACGCGTGATCACAACGTGTTGACGTACGATGCAATTAATGCAGCACGGAGCGTGTAATCGGTGGTCATCAATTTAACGCGTGATGCAAATTAATTCGATATTATTCAATTATTTCCCAATGTAAATGTCACGCGTTACACAAACGATGTAATCAAACACGGTGCATGAGCTCTTGCGTCATAGCACTGCAAATTGTCTCATATGTGCAGCAAGTTAAAGGAAACGGGTCAAGCCAGCACATTTTTAACTTATTTTCTAACGGGCTGCCGCAACGATTGAATGCGCTCTCTTTCTCTTTTTTTTACGGCTAACGGAATTTTAATTAGAAGTTCTATAAATTCACGGAACGTCTTATTTAAGGATTGACATAGTGGATGATCAACAAACACGTAGTAAATGATTAACATCTGATGCAGCATCTGTTGCTAAAAATAATACGAGAGAAGAGATGTAAATCCTCGTGATTTATGTGAAAGTTTGCTGAAAAAAAATATTCACGAAAGGAAGGTAATTGGGAGAAAAATTATTTGACCGGCATAATATCAGGATGATAATTTAAAGAATTTGTACAGCATAATAGAAAATTGATCAAAAGTTCCGCTCCGCTCTTTATTTGCACGTTTTAGTAAGTCGCGTCCGACCAAACGCGAGTCGCGACTCCTTGCGCGAAAGAGGGCGGCTGGCGGCGCGTTGCATTCACACGTTTCCACTTCGCCGGCAAGTGGTACAAGTTCGCGACTGCATAGGAAGTGCAGGGGGTAAACGGTTGGGCCGGCTCCCTACCCTCGACGACCAAACCCAATCGGCGGGCGCGCCGAGTCGGTCGGACGCGCGAGTCTCGGTTGTTGCACAGAGTGGCGAGCCGTCCGAGTGCAGCATGTATACATGCACATGCACACGCGAATTTTCACCGTGTGCGCGCCTTCCCCACCGACGCAGCGAGTGCAGCGGGCACTCTTGCGACCCATCCGCGCGAAACCGCAGTTCGCACGGAGCAGCGGTGCAACGCGCTCCTTTTAGGATTGCGATCGCACGGATTTTCGCAAATGCCGTGCGATCGCGATCGGCGCTTTTGAAAAGCAATTTGTGTCGGAATCTTTTTCGCGGGAATCATAACGTAGGTCTACTGTCGCGTGGAGTACGATAAAACGAGATGCGTAGCCGAGATGCTTTTAAAAGTGTAAACAGATCGCAGAAATCATCGGGGAACTTTTTGTCAACTCGCAATGACGTAAGCGCGCGCTATTGCAATTTACGTCTGATGTAAGCGTGCACGCGCGCAATTATTTACGACGAATACGGGCGCGCGAATCAATGTTGCGCGACGTCAATAAAATTCGGAACTTATCAGTGGAAGTGCGCGATAACGGCGCTACACGCCGGCATGTGTGAAGCTAGATATTCGCTCGTTTATCGTTCGCGCTGAATAAACAAGAATGTGCAACTTTCGGCAAACGTTTTTATACGCCCCGCTTTTTGACGCGGCCTAATGCAGAACGTATACATACGCGCGGGCCGCGATAACACGCGTGTATATTTAAAGATTCCTCAGTGCTCCTCTAAGAGCAGCGTGGCCGCCGCGTGAAGCCAACTTGCGTTCCGATCGATCGACTAATCTTCATCGCATATACGAGGACCGTAGAATTGGTCAAGTTAATTGACCAGTTGGCTCACCACTTGCCGCGCGAGTCTTTTTTCTCCATTACGAATACCTTCGTAGTTATTCAGTGATCGGTGAATCGATGGAGTCTTCAAGTTCTCAATATTCCGGATATTCGTCGAATTTCCAGAATTCGCAGATGCGTTGACTGCTCGTTCGGATTTCAGGAGATTTAGTAACATTGACATGTAAGTAATATCTGTTAATCAGAAAAAATGCCTTCTCTGGATACATCGTGTCTCTCGTTACTGTTGACAAATATAATTTTATTACACTTGACACTACCGTGTCTCTTGATTACATTTCCTGGACTTAAGCATAAAGAACAACAAGATTTGTTTAAAAATTCGATTTTTACAATATCATCACTTATTTACGTGCCATCATTCATTTTAATTTCTTAATTATCTTTAAGGATAAACGGTCTTAATAGAGCACGTGCAGTACATAATCGGCAAAACATCGAATGAGCTAAACACCGCGTCGAGTAAATACTAATTTATCACGTACTGGTCTGATATCTATCCAACATACAAACCGGATAAGTATATATACCGCATAAAAGAGATAGTACTATCTCTTGCAGTTAGGCCGTAAATATACAATCTTATAGCGAGGCCAGTTAAGTAGTGAGTAACCTCCGTAACTTTCCTATCTTTCGTTGTTGCAATTCGTATCGTAATGTAAAGCAAGTGTTTGTCAGACTTTTGATTATATCAATCTGATTCATATTGGATGAGTAAATTGTGATAATTTTAAAAAATTCGCATCCGTCACCCCTTCTTCTACCCTCTTTCATTCTCTCTCTCTCTCTCTCTCTCTCTCTCTCTCTCTCTCTCTCTCTCTCTCTCTCTCTCTCTCTCTCTCTCTCTCTCTTACTGGACTATTTTTCTCGGCAGATGGGCGAACAAACGATCGAAGTCTGTTGAAATCGAACGAAGCTAAAGTTCATGGATATCGATTCACGATAACCCCCAGTGGCTGCCCTCCATTTTCGGGATCGCACTTCCGAGACTCTCCTCACGTTTTTCTCGTTTCGACATTGATATTAATTCCACCGCGTGTGCAACCGGCATACTGTCGCCGCCCGGAGACGACCGTTATCCAATCCTCGTCTAACGCTTTCACCTTGCGCGTCCTGATTTACGAAAACCGCGACTGTGCGTTTGGAAAGAGTGAGAGCAAAGCCGGATGGGGGAACGCAACGAAAATCAAAATGTGGGGGGGTCTCTTCGATCTTCGAACACCTTCCTTCACATTGTAGAATAAATTAAAATAAAAGATTATTTCTCATACGTAATAAAAGGAATAACAATTTGATTTCTATATATTCAATATTATACTATCTTTGAGCGTCGCTGAATCGCGTAACATACGAGTAACCGTAAGATTCTTTCTCGAAAGGCCAAAGGGTGGAAGTTTGAAAGGAAGCTCGACGAGTGGGAAGGGTTCAAGGACGGGAGTCAGATATATGAGGAAAGGAGCGGTGTGTCAAATCGTAGCGTCACGAAGAAGCGCGTTGGGCAACTACCGAGGGTTTTGTGGGCGCGCATGCGCGCTAGTGTGTGCACCCGCAAGTGCGTGTATGTATCTCGTAGGAAGCCCGAAAAGTAGGTCTTGGTTACAGTTAGATCTAACCGTCTCTCTTTCTCTCTCTTCGTGCTCGTCCGTCGATGCAAGACGGCGACGGCGCTCTGAACGCACCGTTCGTCGCGTAGAAATGTCGACTGGCCGTTTCTCCTTGGGAACCGCGCGGCCCTCGATCGTAATCGAGAGATCGCGCGTACGCTTGGAATTTACGAGAGAAACGACGAGCGATTTATCCCAGACACGCGGCAAATAGAAGATAGTAATCTGTGCGATCCATCGGTCGATCGGCTAAATCTCTTTTCCGCAAGGACGACGTCAAACTGTTTTGTTGATTTGCAACTAGAACGCGCGAGATATATCCTTATCAGGAACAATCTTATATAAATAGATAAATGCTCTTACATACGCAAACAATTCTATTTTTTCTGTGCGTGAGACACTGCGAATAGAACCGTGCTTTTGAAAACTACATTTAATCTCAAGTCTAATTATATATATATATATAGAGCAAATTAGAGCAAGATAAAGAGTATTAAGAAATAAAACGTTAAATTAACGGGGAGCGCCCCACCCCGACGGCCTCGCATCGGACAACAATTTCGTCAAAGTCAAAACATTCGGGCGAGCGCGTCGTGCGCGCGGCGTACTGTTTGCCGAGGTATTAGCACACGACTACCTCAAATTGGCGCTAAGAGGAAACGCAAAAGTCGGAAGTAGTACACCGGCGTATCGGAAAGAGGAGGGCAATCGCCTATACACGCTCATTAGCGTCACTCTCCCATAAATCGACGTCACCATGCGATTATATACCCACATTCTCTATATCGATCCAAGATGGACATTACCAGAAAAGCTACTCCAAGGTAACCGCGTTCGTTTCCCCCGTGCGCGGGATATCGATCGAGACTTCGATAGGCGCCAATTGGCCCCGGGCACTATCGCGGGCACTATTCGGCCGCGCGGATCAGCACGTAATATACCTAAGCGTATGCGTGCGTGCGTGCCTGCGTGCATGTTTGCATGCGTGCTCGCCCGCGCACGGATGACCATGACTCGTTGCGATATTTAACGAACTTTACAAGCAACGGCGTTGAGTCTAGGGCCACATATCCGTCTCCACACATACGTCTATTAGACGCTGAAACGCGCATGTATATACGCGCATACGTGTATGTACATGTGTAT